GGCGCCGTGGCCACTGTATCTTGGCACAGCCCCGCCGGCTGCTGGGTGACTGCCTTCTCTTTGCACAAGCCCTTGATGGCCGAGTCAGGCTGGAACCTGCTGGCCACCCGGGGGTGCTCCTTGTCAGCCTTGACAGCGAGGAAGGTTGCCAGGTCGAGGTCGAGCATGGTGACACCGCCACGTGGCGTGGGCGTATTTTGGCGGCACTGCGGGCAGGGGATCCAGTGCTGCTCATTGGCGACGGCGTCAAGGCGTTTCAGGCAGGCTTGGCAGAAGGTATGGCCGCAGTAGAGCTGGCGCGGCAGCCGGCTGCACAGGTCGTAGGAGGAGTAGCAGATGATGCACTCAACCCTCTGGCTGCCCCGGCTTGGGGTGCGCGAGTGTGCCCCAATACACAGCCCTTCCTCCTCCGCCCGGGGGCTGCTGCTGGCCTGGGACATGCTGGGGAGGGTGAGAGGAGCCGTCAGACCCATGGCCAGGGTGTGGGATGCCTCCTCAGAGTGCATCTAGTGCGTGGGAGATGTGGGGACCAGCCCAATGGAGTGGGTTCCCTGGGGCATTGGGCTCCCTGCCCTGCATCCCTCCCTGCCACCTGCCTGCCCCGCGGAGAGCCCTGCCAAAAAAGCAGGACCTCACCAGTACAGATGGTTCTGCCTGCATCCAAGGGGGATGTGTTTTCCCTGGTGCCACCCCTGCATCTCTGCCAGGAGGTCTGCCAAATGGCACTTATGTCCCAGGGTGGATGGGGGCTGGCTGGACCTCAGCAGCCTGCCCAGGCAGTGGGTTGGTGGGGAACATGAGGTGGGCAGGAGCCTGGCAGCTGGGTTGGCAGGGGAGCAACCCAGAGGTGTAGGCAGTGCCGCAGCCAGCTCCTTGCCATCCCCAGGCTATGCCAGTTGCCCTGGCATGGCTGTCAGCAGCAGGGGACGGGCACACAGGCTGACGGGGAGGAGTTGAGGGGTCCAGCCCCACCCTAAGGGGGTCTGGTACCCACCAGCATATTTGAAAACCTCTCCTGGAAGCTGCCAAGACCCCACTCCCTCTGTACAGGTGACCTCAAGCATTTTGATACACACAGGCATCCCTCCCCTCCTCCCCTGTCCCCCATCCCTACCTGTCCCAAGATGCTCCCCTCAGGCCCTCAGGGGAGGTGGCAGAAGGGCTGTGCCTTCCCGGGGGGCCGCAGCAGTCCCATGGGGAGCATGGGGGGCCTGAGCCACCAGCAACTCCCCAGCCAGGTCCTGGTGGCTGGTGGTGGCTGTAGCAGTGGGAAGGGGCTCACCTTTCAGGGACAGGCGTGCTACCAGATCTGCTGCCAGGAAGCCAGGCCTGGGAGATTGGGTTACGAGCACCCGGATAA